AATAGAGGGGGGCTATGATTGCAAGCAGCACTGTGTAAAAGGGGCACTGTGATGTTTAAAGAGGACATTGTGATGTGTAAAGGGGGCACTGTGATGTGTAAAGGGGGCACTGTGATGTGTAAAGGGAGCACTGTAATGTGTAAGAGGGCACTGTGTAAAGGTGGCACTGTGATGTGTAAGAGGGCATTGTGTAAAGGTGGCACTGTGATGTGTAAAGGGGGCACTGTGTAAAGGTGGCACTGTGATGTACAAACAGGGCACTGTAATGTGTAAAGGGGGCACTGCAAGGTGCAAAGGTGGCACTGTGATGTGTAAAGGGGGCACTGTGATGTGTAAAGGGAGCACTGTGATGTGTAAAGGGGCCACTGTGATGTGTAAGAGGGCCACTGTGTAAAGGTGGCACTGTGATGTGTAAAGGGGGCACTGTGATGTGTAAAGGGGGCAATATGATGTGTAAAGAGGGCACTGTGATGTGAAGGGTAACTGAGGACACCTATGGACTGCTATAAAGGAGGGACTGTGTTTTGAAGGGGCTCTGTGATGTATAGGGGAACTGTAATGTTAAGGGTGGTTATGATGTGAAGGAGGTCTGAGAGTGAATTCAGTGGCCATGAGCCAGTCTGATGCAGACAGTTGATGTAAGGGGGCAATCCATGTAAGGGGACACTCTAATGGGGGCAGCTAATGTAAGGGGGCATTCTGATGGGGATAACTAATCATATGTAAGAGGACACTCTTATGAGAACAATTGATGCAAGGAAGGGCTCTGTTAAGGACACTGATGTAAAGGGGATCTCCGATGGTGACATCTGATGTAAAATGGCACTCTGATAGTGACACCTGAAGGAAGGGGGCACTCTGATGGTGACACCTGATGTAAGGGGCACTCCGATGCTGATACCTGATGTAAGGGGACACTCTCATGGCGACACCTGATGTAAGGGGGAACTCTGATGGTGACACCTGATGTAAGGGGACACTCTCATGGCGACACAATTTGTAAGGGGCACTCTGATGTAAAGGGGAACTCTGATGAGTAATCATGATGTAAAGGACTCTGATTAGGACTTCTGATATAAAGGGGGACTCTGACAGGACATCTGGTATAAGTGGGCACAGGTTTTGTTTAATCACCTTAATATTAATGTTTCCCAGGTCATGACACCATGTGACAGGCTATCAGTGACTCACACAGTGTTAACAATATGCCCCCTGACATTTTTTTACTGCACCCCGGGATCAGATAGGCTAGATCCAGAACTGTCTGAGTAGGCACTGCTGTGTCACAAATGTCACAGAGCATGCCTTCTGACCTACAGAGGAGCTGAAAGGAGGAGTTTCAGAAGGCGGAGTACAGGAATCACTGTTTGCAGGTACCATGGGACATGTAGTCCTTAGAAACGGAAAGAAAATAGCCAAGGAGAAGCTGCAAAGCATGCAGGGAATCCAGGAAGATGTGGAAAGAGAGAGTCAGCAGACAGGCATTTCAAGTAAAAAAAAAAAACAAATGGAAACCTCTGCGCTAACCCTAATGTATATCAAAAACCATATATATTATGTTGCAGCTCCTCACTGTTGTGCATTCAAACACCAATAGAAACCAATATGTGCTGCACTTTTTCCATATTGATTTCTATAGGCATTTCAAGTAAGCAGGTGCGTAAACATTCACTGTACTCAGATCTGTAACACAGAATACAAAAACTGCGTCTAAGGCTTCATTCATATGGCCTTCAAATTTTTACTGATGTTATTACACGTGTTTTCGAGGAGAAAAGTTCCTGCGTAATGTTCAGTAAAATACTTGCGTATACTGTAGATACATTTAAAATGTTACTAAACCCCGGTCCCCGCATTCACTATATCTGGTCTATCAGGACCCTGCATTCACTATATCTGGTCTCCCTGGACCCTGCATTCACTATATCTGCTCTCCCCGGACCCTGCATTCACTATATCTGCTCTCCCCTGGACCCTGTATTCACTATATCTGGTCTCCCACAGTACACACAACATGGAAATGCAATTATTTTAGTAAAAATATAAAATGCTAAATACCTTTTCACATCAGCAGTAAGAGCAGTCTTGTGACTATCTGTGTCCAGCAGAGCATTGGTTAAAGCTTATAGGAGGAGTTTTCTTTCTGCTCTAGGAGGATGCAGAACCTCTGACCTCTGTCTGGACAGTGCTGATTGGCCCTGTGCTGATCACATGCACTCTCGCAAAAAAAAAAAAAAAAAAAACAACCTCTCTAACAATACACATCAAACCTAGCATGTGCAGAGTGACTCCACATGATATGTCTTATCAGGAGATAAAAGGGGGGACACTTGAAGAAGGGGAGGATCAGAGAAGACAGGATCAAACAGCCTTTTTACACAATGCAGAGGATTAACCCCTTAGGTTCCACAGTGAGTATAACAAGCATGCTTTACTGCATATACAGACTGATTTTACTGCTGTGGGTTTAGTAACACTTTAACCCCTTGCCCTCCAGAGGATTTACCCCCCCCTTCCTGACCAGGTCATTTTTTTCAATACGGCGTTGTGTTATTTTAACTGACAATTGCGTGGTCATGCAATGCTACACCCAAGTGAAATTTATGTCCTTTTTTTCCCACACAATTAGAGCTTTTTTTTCGGTGGTATTTGGTCACCTGTGAGTTTTTAATTTTTCGAGCCATAAACAAAAAAACAATTGTGAAAAAAACAAAAAATATTTTTGACTTCTTGCTATAAAATATCCAGTAAAAAAATTAAAAAAAAAACAAATTTCGTCATAAATTTCTGCCAAAATGTATTCTGCTGCATGTCTTTGCTAAAAAAAATCCCAAAAGGTGTAAATTAATTGGTTTACGTGAAAGTTATAGCGTCTATAAATGGCGGTATAGATACTGCAATATTTTTTATATACTAGTTATGGTGGCGATTAGCAACTTCTAGCAGGACTGTGGTGGGAATTCTGACACTGGGGGGGAACTAACTGCCACTGACATCCCCAGTGACACCAATACAGTGATCAGTGCTAATAAAAAGCACTGACACTGTACTAATGAATCAGATAAATAAAGAGTAGCGAATCAGATTGGTGGGAGGAGTAATGGTTAGGTATATTTGGAAGCAGGAACTGGAGATCATTGTCTGTGATAACACCCTGGAGGAGGGGCAAAATGCGTAGACGTAATTTTTCAGGTTTCGATGGAGGCTTTGTGACGTCATGTCCAGTGGTGGAGCGCACACTATATGAGGCGCTCCGGAGCCATATTTGTTCAGAGGGGAATATACATTTGCCAGTCAGAGCCTTACCGCACTGCTGCCAGTTCACTTGATGTGGGAGCCATGATTGATTTGGTCCTAAAGCTTTCTGATGGGGAAAGTTTATATTAAAGAAGCTGATTTTTAACCTGTCTAATGTGAGTGCATATAATGCATTGGTTTTAATATATTAAAGAGTTTGCAGTATTATACTATTAGAGTCCCCATTGTCTCTTTGCATTGCATCTACCTTATTGGTGGTCGTTGGAGATTGTCAAGCAAGAGTCTTTTCCTTCATTGCGATTCATTTTGGAGAACACATCTCACCGTAACCTCCCTAGCGGTCTGATTATGTCTATATTTCTGTGCTCAAAGCGGTACATTTTTTTGCATGGAAATATGTATTTTTTTTATTGTGGGCCTGTAATTTTTAGGAATAACGCACTGAAATCTGTCCGAACAAGAGTCTAGTAAACATTCCGGGTATGATAAAATTTGAAACACGAAATCATAAATTATAATTTAATAAATAATCATAAAAATAATAATATAATAATAAATTTAATTCCATAATATAATCAAACCAAAAACACTGAAATTTGAAATATAGCGCCAAGTTCGCACATCACTGAGCAAAGTCGCAAAATCGTTTTCAGTGTCTGATGACGAATTTCCCCACAAATCATTATCACTCAATTCTGCAAGTGGTTCTGATTTACTATCACCGTTCTCTAGCCGGTCTAAAACCACTTTTGACCTAAAGGGACGCTTTTTGGACGCCATGGACGTTTCTCAGTTTCCAGGCAGAAAGAACAGTAAAAATGCAGGCAGGGCGCAGGACAAAGCACTCGGGACAAAATGTATGTGAAATGGTTTGATACAGGAATGTTTTACTATGTGATTTTAGTGAATTTAGTGAATGTCACTTTAAAAATTTTCAAATTTCCGACCAGTTCCGTTCCCGTATGTCCCGACGTTGCAGGGGATGGAACCTGGAAGACAGATGCCAGCATCGGCCAGAGAACATTGCCGGGGACACTGCAGGAGGGACATTGCGGGAGCGCAGGACAAGGTAAGTGAAGAAGAGATCCCGGAGCAACGCTGCAGAGTATTCCCGAGTGTAGCTCGGGGTTACCACTTGTGGTGCTGAAACTTTACCCCGAGCTACACTCGGGAATACCTCCAGGGGGGTTAAAGCTTGTTTGAATCTTAAGCCATATAAGCTAGGAGTCCATAAAATCTGGTGCGTGTGGACTGTATCGGAAGGTGATCACGGATGATGTGGGCACGTTAAATTTCCTTTGGCACTGTTTTTTTGATTGAAGCACTTGTTTCACCGTTTATTTGGGATAGTGAACTTTCATACACAACCAATATTTTTTCATCACTGATGGAATTTTATGATTTGTTTTAATTTTTGCACTGTGCTATTTCTTTTATGTTTTGATGGTTTTCATCTATGAACAGCAGCATTAATTAATGTATTGATTGATTTTAGGCGCAAGTTTATTTTACACATTTTTTGAAGTTAGAAGCTGATTGGCTACCATGCACAGCTGCACCAGATTTTGCACTCTCTAGTTTTAGTAAATCAACCTCGATATATAATAACATCAGTAAAAGTTGTGCAATCATGTGAATGAAGCCTTAATGACAGGTCCACTTTATCAGGCAATAATAACACCAAACCCAAGCAAATAAAGCACCAGCACACAAGTCTATAAATACTGTATTTGTGGTACATGTTACATATGAGTCAGGACACAGTTCTTGTTCATGGGTTTAGTAGCCTCCCAGCCGTATCTGATCTTCTGAATCCTCTTGCTGAAACATGGCAGAAGAAAGATGGCTCTACAGAGGAGGACGAGGATGGGGAGGAATACCGCCAACATGAAGGAGGGGGGCATACACCAAATAAACTGGCTGACATCTGCCCATTTATTCCAGGCAAACACCAAGGTGTGCGCCGTACTCAGTAATAATGCCACGTAGCCCATCTTGCTCTGTGGAGGACAACAGAAAGATCAATAAATACACGTCAAAGTGAACAGGATAAATTAACCTCCTCGGCGGTCTGATTATTTCCGATTTTTTGTGCTGAAAGCGGTACATTTTTTTGCATGGAAATATGTAGTTTTTTATTGTAGGCTGTAATTTTTAGGAATAACTCACTGAAATCTGTAAGAACAAGAGTCTAGTAAACATCCCGGGTATGATAAAATTTGAAACACAAAATCATAAATTATAATTTAATAAATAATCATAAAAAATAATATAATAATAATAAATTTAATGCAATAATATAATCAAACCAAAAACACTGAAATTTGAAATACAGAGGCAAATTCGCACATCGCTGAGCAAAGTCGCAAAATCGTTTTCAGTGTCTGATGACGAATTTCCCCACAAATCATCACTCAATTCTGCAAGTGTTCTGATTTACTATCGCTGTTCTCTAGCCGGTCTAAAACCGCTTTTGACCTAAAGGGACGCTTTTTGGGACGCCATGGACTTTTCTAAGTTTCCAGGCAGAAAGAACAGTGAAAATGCAGGCAGGGCACAGGACAAAATGTATGTGAAATGCATTGAAACAGCAATGTTTTACTATGTAATAATAATTTTTTTAAAAAATGACATTTTTAAAAAATTTCAAATTTGCCGCCGGTTCTAGCGCCCGTACGTCCCGACGTCACAGGGACCGGAACACGGAAGCCGGATGCCGGCATCGGCCGGAGGAGATGCCTGGGGACGCTGCAGGGGACACATCGTGGGAGCGAAGGACAAGGTAAGCGCTGCAGGGACTCCCTGAGCAACGCCGCATGGTAAGCCCGAGTGTAGCTCGGGGTTACCGCTCTTGGTACTCAAATTTTACCCCGAGCTACACTCGGGAATACCGCTAAGGAGGTTAAAGGTTTAGTGACCCTAAAAAGGGATCCCAAGGTTTACTATGCATGGGATTTATAATCCGTCTGATTTGCAGTGTTGTGGTTTGTCAGCAGGGGGTTGCTATTAGATCTAGCTAATGATTAATAGAACTAAAGGCAATTTTTTTTTCATTTTGGATAGACTAACCCCAGGTTCACACCTAAGCGTTTTCGGCAGCGTTTTGCAGAAACGCACTACAGTCCATTTAACATGATTTCCTATGGGACATGTTCACATCTGCGTGTTTTCACCCAGTGTGTTTTTTTGGAAAGGGTCAGGGACTTTTTTAAATGCAAAACGTTGCATTTTGGGTTCCATAGACTTCAATGGAAATGCTACAGAAAAGCATGTAGTGCGTTTTTGCCGCGTTTTGATCTGCCTAGCAACAATAAAAAACAAAACAAAAACGCATCAACAACATAGCAAGAACATGTACAAAAATGCAAAATGAAACACAAAACACACTGCAGAAACAAATCAAATGCAAACTGCACAGGTGTGAACCAATCCTTAGGCTACGTTCACACTAGCGTTGTGTGCAGGCAGCAGAGAGGCGTTTGGGAAGCGTTTTTACCGCTACCCAAACGCCTCTGCCAATTCTGCACATTACAGCACATGGTGCTGTTCTAACGGGAGCGTTTGCGTCGCGGCGCGGCAAAACGGACGCCTCTGGTCAAGTCAGGAGGTGTTGAAGCCTCCTATTCTCGTCTATGGTGCCGCTCCGCAAACGCCCAGCCGGTGTTTGCGGTGCAGTTGCGGTGCGGTTGCGACGCGTTTGCGGGGCGTTTGCGGAGCGGTAACACCACTCAAACTGCTTTATAGGCGTTTGTGGGGCGTTATTAACGCTCGGCAAACGCCTAGCAACCACCACTAAACTGCGCATGCGGCGTTTGCGGAGCGTTTGCCGAGCACGCCGGACCAACGCTTGCCAAACGCTATAGGGGCGTTTGGCAAGCGTTGGTAAAACAGTCAATCACTCTCAACTCTGTCCAAAACTAAGAAAAAAAAACATGTTTTGCCGTTAAATATACTTTAAATGTGATGGCTCCATTAGTTTTCTTTTTTTAGTCCCTTTTCCCTTTATTTTAACCTGATGGTTCAACTAGTAACAAACGTCCTTTCTTAGGGTGTTTCCACTCTGGATGGAGGAGCAATGGAGACACTCTTGGACAGCAGCATTGTCAATCTGGGGAGAGGGTAGCATTGCATGCAGTAGCAGATTTAGATGGACTTGGCTAACAAATCAAACCTGAACTCCAACTAACAGTGGTTCACACATATGCTATTGTGGATGCGTTTTAAAATGCACAGATTTACAGGACAGGCAAGATACAATGTTTTCCTATTGATGCGGTTCACACAGAAGCGATGCTCAATGATCAGGATTGCAAAAAGCCCTGTGCGAGCTTGGAGCACTGCGTTCCAAACTCGCAATACATAGAGTTTAGTGCCATTCGGAGATAAATGTTCACATACGTTTGTGATTCACATCTGTTTTTGCATTGAAGTCAATGGGAGCGATTTGTTCAGTGAAGTCAATGGGAGTGATTTGTGCATTAAAATCAATGGGAGCAATTTGTGCACTGAAGTGCAGAAAGGCAGACTGAAAATGGTATCAGTGGTAAATTCACATTAAAACCATTACATTCACACACAATCGCATCGCAGTGTGATTTGTACGTGCATATCAGTTATAAACGCTATAACTTTCACGTAAACCAATTAATTTACACATATTGGGATTTTTTTTTTTTTTAGCAAAGACATGTCGCAGAATACATTTTGGCCTAAATTTATGACAAAATTTGGGTTTTTTAATTTTTTTACTGGACATGTTTAATAGCAAAAAGTCAAAAATATAGTTTTTTTTCTCAAAAATTGTTGTTGTTTTTTTTTTTATTCATAGTGCAAAAAATAAAAAACACACAGGTGATCAAATACCACAGACAGAAAGCTCTATTTGTGGGAAAAGAAGGACTTAAATTTCATTTGGGTGCAGTGTTGCATGACAGCGCAATTGTCAGTTAAAGTAACGCAGCGCCGTAATGCAAAAAATGGCCTGGTCAGGAAGGGGGGTAAATCCTCTGGAGCACAAGTGTTAATACCACTTTTTTGTTGGTTTCGGGTTATCACATGCTGGTAGTATAATTTGTACTAAAACTCATTGCAAACGGTCACTAACACATAAAGCACTGATCCATACAATCAGCACCAGGTTCATACTCCTGGGACTTGTAGTTCTCCAACCAGAAGCTTGCCTGGCAGTGCCGTTTCTTGTACAAGGCCAGTATACAGCCCTGTCTGTGCAATCATTTCTCATTCTGACCGTCCGGCTCCAGTGTGCCCAATTTTTCATATTGTTTTAATTGCAGCAGCTGCTGACTCATGGGATTAGCAGAACAATTCCAACTGCTGTCAGAAGGGATTTCAGAAGCTTTACAAAGTTTTGGCTCAGTCTGTGTTGATTTTCCTGATTCTGATGATGTCACTAACATTCTGTGAAAAGCTCGGTGTGAAGGTAATGTTGAGTACTCAGGGGTTCTCACCCATGCAGGTGAGGGGTTCCAGGGTAGTCCAGCTGGAGAGGAGAGGACTGACTTTCAGTACTCTCCAGATTTCCAAGTCCTTATTAGAGATCCAAAAAAACAAAACAAAAAAAAAAAACAAAAAAAAAAAAACAACTTTGATATGAGTTTATCCACTTGCCCTCCAGAGGATTTACCTCCCTTCCTGACCACACCATTTTTTGCGGTCATGCAATGCTGCACCCAAATGAAATTTGCGTCTTTTTTTTTCATTGATTGAGCTTTTGTTCAGTGGTATTTGATCACCTGTGTGTTTTTTTTTATTTTTTGTGCTATAAAGAAAAAAAACAAACAAACAATTTTGAGCAAAAAAAAAAAACAAAACAAAACAATATTTTCAACTTTTTGCTATTAAACATGTTCAGTAAAAGATTTTTAAGAATCATAAATTTAGGCCAAAATGTATGTCTTTGCTAAAAAAAAAAATCCCAATACATGTGTATTAATTGGTTTTACATTAAATTTATAGCATTTACAAATCCCAGTTAATCCCACTTTTTTAATCCCACACACACTGGCATTTAAAAAAATTTTTTTTTACTAGTAATGCGATTTGAACCAGAGAATTGACTAGTTTTTGTTTTTCTTTTGTGTGCTTAACACAAGCTGTTTTTCAGTTTTGCCTGTTTTATTTGGAATAAAAAGGGCTTTTTGCTTTTACCAATGTGTTTGGCTAAAGCTCTCAGGCCCTCCATATGACAATGATTTTAGGATTAATATCAGGCCAGCTAAATACACAAATAAGTAACATAAATAATATATGGGATCTGGCAAAAGGCTTGGATTTGTTCATCCAGTCCCGAGATGTACACAGCTCTGACACACAGCACAGCTGTATTTGGCAGGGAAAGGGACTGGATCTTTCTCTGTTGCAGTTTCACATTTTAGTCTTATTGGTTAGTTTTCCAGTTCCCACTAGTTTGTGACTAGTCAGTGAAATCAACTCAAAATTAAACCCATCTCTCAATCACCCTGCTGTCTTCTCCTGTCAGCATGGTATTTGCACTCCAGCACAGCTGATTGGTTCCCTGGATTAGTTTCCCCTCCCCTGGTCTGTCAATTTCAGGTACTTGCACTGCTTCTATGTACAAACAGTACATTTATTTTATATGTTAACCCTCAGTTTAATATAGAAATGCATGGCAAAACATTTGTGTACAAGTATATAAAACCTTTATAGAAATGCTTTTTTCCCCTCATTTATATAAATGATCACATACTCTCTGTTCTCAGATGCATGAGGAGCTTAGAGAGCTGGGGGAGGATTAACAGCAGTACATTAGTCTTCCCAGTGAATGGCTTTGCAGTGTGGAGGCGTGTTAGCAGCAAGCGGATCATTGGAAGAGAGCAGGCTGACTTCTCAGTACAGCTAGAGAATTGACCAGGCTATGCTCGCATGCCTAGTGTGGTCAGTGTTTAATAGGAAAGCAGAGGGACTAGCAGGAACATCAGGGATTTCACACAAAGGAATACAAAGAGAACAGGATACTTTTTTCATACAATTATATGGTACAGCAGCCACATATCAGGAATATGATGGGTTTACATATCCTTTAATGATGTGTTATTGAATACAGAGCTTCATTCTTAGATTGTAAGCTCCAAGGAGCAGGGCCCTCCTAACCCTCTTCTGTTGAATTGTATTGTTGCTGTATTGTCTCCCGTTATATTGTAAAGTGCTGAGCAAACTGTTGGTGCTATATAAATCCTATATAATAATTCATTATCTTTTATATTGGCCTGGAGTTCTGCCGTAAATGGATTTTATTCTAAGACAAGACTAGTTATTGCTTTTGTTCAGTGGTATTTGATCACCTGTGTGTTTTTTATTTTTTGTGCTATAAAAAAAAAAAGAAAAACAATTTTGAGAAAAAAAAACCCCAATATTTTCAACCTTTTGCTATTAAACATGTCCAGTAAAAAAATTTTAAGAATCATAAAATTTAGGCCAAAATGTATATCTTTGCTAAAAAAAAAAATCCCAATACGTGTGTATTAATTGGTTTACATTAAATTTATAGCGTTTACAAATCGCAGTATATATACACACACTGGCATTTAAAAAATGTTTTTTTACTAGTAATGCGATTTGAACCAGAGAATTGACTAGTTTTTGTTTTTCTTTTGTGTGCTTAACAATATCAGGAATATGATGGGTTTACATATCCTTTAATGATGCGTTATTGAATACAGAGCTTCATTCTTAGATTGTAAGCTCCCAGGATCAGGGCCCTCCTAACCCTCTTGTGTTGAATTGTATTGTTGCTGTATTGTCTCCCGTTATATTGTAAAGTGCTGAGCAAACTGTTGGCGCTATATAAATCCTGTATAATAATAATTCATTATCTTTTATATTGGCCTGGAGTTCTGCCGTAAATGAATTTTATTCTAAGACAAGACTAGTAATTGCTTTTGTTCAGTGGTATTTGATCACCTGTGTGTTTTTTATTTTTTGTGCTATAAAAAAAAAGAAAAACAACAATTTTGAGAAAAAAACCCCCAATATTTTCAACCTTTTGCTATTAAACATGTCCAGTAAAAAAATTTTAAGAATCATAAAATTTAGGCCAAAATGTATATCTTTGCTAAAAAAAAAAATCCCAATACGTGTGTATTAATTGGTTTACATTAAATTTATAGCGTTTACAAATCGCAGTATATATACACACACACTGGCATTTAAAAAATTTTTTTTTACTAGTAATGCGATTTGAACCAGAGAATTGACTAGTTTTTGTTTTTCTTTTGTGTGCTTAACAATATCAGGAATATGATGGGTTTACATATCCTTTAATGATGCGTTATTGAATACAGAGCTTCATTCTTAGATTGTAAGCTCCCAGGATCAGGCCCTCCTAACCCTCTTGTGTTGAATTGTATTGTTGCTGTATTGTCTCCCATTATATTGTAAAGTGCTGAGCAAACTGTTGGCGCTATATAAATCCTGTATAATAATAATTCATTATCTTTTATATTGGCCTGGAGTTCTGCCGTAAATGGATTTTATTCTAAGACAAGACTAGTAATTGCTTTTAGAAATAAAGGCTTGTTTGTTATTAATGATTGGCAGTGTACCCTCCTGGCTATAGTACGCTGTGTTCACCTAGTGTGCATCACTGGAAAATACGATAATAAAATCCAGACCTCTCCATTATTAGACCGCAATCTGCACAACACATGTGACGTATGCTGATTCAGCCTTGTATCACCGGGAAAAACCCACGCCAAGAAATGTCTGGCCAGAAAGTCTACAATACTACAGGATGTTCAGCTCCATGGCCACTAAAAAATGGTTTTAAATTGTGTCTGGAGTACCACTCCAGTAATCACTTCTGAAAGTGCTAGTTTCCTGGCTGCCTCTGTACGCTGCAGCACTGGCCTAAAACATGCAATGCGGATAGGGACCCCTGACTTTTGACATACTAGTTCTACATTTGTAACCCAAAAGTACTGAAGCCATTCGATCAATTGGGAAGCCAGACAAATGGCATTTTCAGTATATTTTAGATTTTTTTTCATACCAGGTTTACTTTATATTTAGTTTTTTTTTTACTGAATATGTTTAACTGTTATTACTATATGCATTTGTCTTATTTTTATGTCTATATTCATTGTTTTACAAATAAAACAAAAGTGTATGGAAACTCTACCAATGAACTGTTCTTTGCTTCCTTTTGTTCTGTTAATATAAAATGAAAAGCATTTTGATATTCTGCTCAATAAGTGAAAATAAAACCTGTCTCTGATGTAATGTGCACTCTGCAGTATTATTCAAAAAAGCCCTGCCTAAAATACCTCTATGGACTACAAAACACCTCCCCTGTTATGGGGATAAGGAAAGAGGTGGTGTTCTGTACTGCCCTGGGCTGACCCTGCTGCTCCCCTGTTATGGGGATGAGGAAAGAGGTGGTGTTCTGTACTGCCCTGGGGTGACCATGCTGCTCCCCTGTTATGGGGATGAGGAAAGAGGTGGTGTTCTGTACTGCCCTGGGGTGACCATGCTGCTCCCCTGTTATGGGGATGAACAAAGAGGTGGTGTTCTGTACTGCCTTGGGGTGACCATGCTGCTCCCCTGTTATGGGGATGAAGAAAGAGGTGGTGTTCTGTACTGCCCTGGGGTGACCATGCTGCTCCCGTTTATGGGGATGAAGAAAGAGGTGGTGTTCTGTACTGCCCTGGGGTGACAATGCTGCTCCCCTGTTATGGGGATGAGGAAAGAGGTGGTGTTCTGTACTGCCCTGGGGTGACCATGCTGCTCCCCTGTTATGGGGATGAGGAAAGAGGTGGTGTTCTGTACTGCCCTGGGGTGACCATGCTGCTCCCCTGTTATGGGGATGAGGAAAGAGGTGGTGTTCTGTACTGCCCTGGGGTGACCATGCTGCTCCCTGTTATGGGGAATGAGGAAAGAGGTGGTGTTCTGTACTGCCCTAGGGTGACCATGCTGCTCCCTGTTATGGGAATGAGGAAAGAGGTGGTGTTCTGTACTGCCCTGGGGTGACCATGCTGCTCCCCTGTTATGGAGATGAGGAAAGAGGTGGTGTTCTGTACTGCCCTAGGGTGACAATGCTGCTCCCCTGTCATGGGGATGAGGAAAGAGGTGGTGTTCTGTACTGCCCTGGGGTGACCATGCTGCTCCCGTTATGGGGATGAGGAAAGAGGTGGTGTTCTGTACTGCCCTGGGGTGACCATGCTGCTCCCCTGTTATGGGGATGAGGAAAGAGGTGGTGTTCTGTACTGCCCTGGGGTGCCCATGCTGCTCCCCTGTTATGGGGATGAGGAAAGAGGTGGTGTTCTGTACTGCCCTGGGGTGACCATGCTGCTCCCCTATTATGGGGATGAAGAAAGAGGTGGTGTTCTGTACTGCCCTGGGGTGACCATGCTGCTCCCCTGTTATGGGGATGAGAAAGAGGTGGTGTTCTGTACTGCCCTGGGGTGACCATGCTGCTCCCCTGTTATGGGGATGAGGAAAGAGGTGGTGTTCTGTACTGCCCTGGGGTGACAATGCTGCTCCTCCATAGTATAATGAGTTAGGGTTGGCATCCTTCAACAGGCAGTGCATTACTGGCAAGATCATCAGGTAAAATAAAAAGGGAAAAAAAAAAAAAAAACTAGGAAAATGAGTGTAGCCGTTACCTCAAAGTACTGATAAGCTGCAATATTTACATTTTTGTTTTAGCATTCAAATATAATTCAATAGGGGAAAAAAAAAAAAGAAAAGAAAAAAGGAAGAGAGCTAGCTAAAGAGACAATCCACCAACAATGTTCCCTTTTTTCAGGCAGGCTAGCTCTCACCTTGGACTACAGGTGAAACTCGAAAATTAGAATATCGTGCAAATGTTCATTTATTTCAGTAATGCAACTTAAAAGGTAACATATGAGATAGACTCCTTACATGCAAAGCAAGATAGTTCAAGCCGTGATTTGTCATAATTGTGATGATTATGGCTTACAGCTCATGAAAACCCCAAATCCACAATCTCAGAAAATGAGAATATTACATGCAGTCAACAAAACAAGGATTGTACATAGAACAATATCGGACCTCTGAAAAGTATAAGCATGCATATGTACTCAGTACTTGGTTTGGGCCACTTTTGCAGCAATTACTGCCTCAATGCGGCGTGGCATGGAAGCTATCAGCCTGTGGTACTGCTGAGGTGTTATGGAAGACCAGGATGCTTCAATAGCGGCCTTCAGCTCTTCTGCATTGTTCGGTCTCATGTCTCTCATCTAATCATCACAATTATGACAAATCACGGCTTGAACTATCTTGCTTTGCATGTAATGAGTCTATCTCATATAATAGTTTCACCTTTTAAGTTGCATTACTGAAATAAATGAACTTTTGTACGATATTCTAATTTTTCGAGTTTCACCTGTAAGCCATCAAATAAGGGAGGTGCCTGTGTTTTGGGGAGATTTGCCGGTGAATCCGTTCACTTTTAGTGCTCTGCATTGATGCTGGAGACTAATAAATGAACCATACCTGTATGAACTGGTATTCTCGCCAAGACAAAGAATGGCTGACTGATGGAATCGATGCAACAGCCAATATGCCTAAAATAGCGAGAGATATAATGCCCAGACACACGTAGATCTCCATCCTCCATACATCATGCTCAATCCAGCTACTTTCTTTCTGCTGCTTCACCTGGTAAAGAGCAAACACATAGTAACAACATGGCAAAGATAGGTAAAATAGTAACCAAAAAATCATGTGCAGAAAAGTGTAAAAAAAAAAAAAAACAAAACCAAAAATGTCAGAAAAAAAAAAATCCAACAAGACAGCAGCACTCACTGTATCCACATATATCAATACAAAATATATCCACCAAAATAATGCGTTGCACTGTCTATTAGTACAAGCAGCAAGTGGATCTAACAATGAAGTGCATAAAACAATACACATCATAAATGTTTACATAAATAAATCCACAATTCATAAGACACTCAAATCAGTGAGTGAATATATATATATATAAATATTCCCAAAGAGTTCATAAAGTTCATGGATAAGTGAAAAATCAATCACGGACAAGTGCCGAAAGGATCAAGGTGCTATGTCTGTGCATCTGAAAAGACCAGGAAAATCTTGTGCCTCTAATATTCACCAAAATGTGCGCCACCAAGAGGGATATCAGGGCCTCTCACTAGAATGCAAGACCTCTATAAAAAAAGAAGGTCAGACAGAGCTAAAAGTGTTAGTAAACCCCCAACAGTAAAATCAGTCTGTATATGCAGTAAAGCATGCTTGTTATACTCACTGTGGAACCTAAGGGGTTAATCCTCTGCATTGTGTAAAAATGCTGTTTGATTCTGTCCTCTCTGATCCTCCCCTTCTACTGTTCCCTTTCCATCTGCTGATAGAACAGAGCCTTGGGGGCAAGCTGCACGTGCTCAGTTTGGTGTGTATTGCTAGATAGTTTTTCTTTTCCTGGGAGGGTGCATGTGAATGGCACAGGGCCAATCAGCACTGTCCAGACAGAGGGTCAGGGGTTATGCAGCCTCATAGGACAGTCAGAGGAGAAAGAGAACTTCTACAAGCTTTAACCAGTGCTCTGTTGGACACTGATAGAAGTCACAAGATTGCTCTAACTGCTGATGAGAAAAGGTATTTAGCAGTTTATATTTGCTAAAATAATTGCATTTCCATGTTCTGTGTCCTGCGGGAGACCAGATATAGTGAATGCAGAGTCCGGGGTTTAGTAACACTTTAAAGGGAGAGAACCTACAATGGATGGATGGAAGGGTCACAACTCAGCTCCAGTCCGGGATCAGCCAGAACGCCAGGTAGACACAGATATCTCCACTCAGTGCTCCTCAGACTGCCATCCCAACCACATATGGGACAATATGCTCACAAGGGGAATCAAGCCAAGTGACCACGTGTAAAAGGAAGGGGATCGCTCATCGTGCAGTATTAAAAACAATTTTTATTAAAACAAGGTATCTACTCGCATGCAAGAGAAGTAACAAGGCATATCACATATACAGCATTAAGCACCCCGGCAGGCGGGATGACGTCAATGCTATGGCTCCAGCTGATGCGTTTCAACCAAACAGATGTCATCACTGGGGCAATGGAGGTCAATGATAGGTGTATACTGGGGCAGCCTTTCCTAAAGTATAACTTGGATATAGTAAGGGAGGGTTATGTTTTGCCATCTGTGTCCCAGTGGGGAGATCTCTCTTCACACCTTGTCCTATTGCCACAACAGGAAGTGAGAGGAAATCCCTCTAAAGCGATAGAATCCGAGATTGTCACTAGAATTAGCGTCCCCAGTGGAACATTTACTCTCTAATCCTGTTCTGGAGACAACACAAAATTTGGGATTTTCTTTCACTTTCACCCTCGGTGATAACGGTAAACAGGACAAGTAGAGAGGGTGAATCGCTCTAGCAGAGGCACAGACCGCAATAAAAAAAAAAAAAAAAACTTGATAGGTGTTCTAATTCCTCTTCACTCTATTCAAGATTTTTTTTTTTTTTAAATGCTGTTATACTTTAATCTTCCTTCCTCCCAAAGGAACCACTAATATAATGTTCAGGTCTTGGGGAACCTTTATTAAAGCCAATTAATTGTGGATCAGTCGGAAATATCTCCATTACATTGGTGGTCACTAAAAGAATGCCACCCTTACATTGGTGGTCAGGAAGAAGAATGCCACCTCTAAATTGTCTGCGAGTAAAAAGAACACCACTCTTACATTGGTGGTCAGTAAGAAGAATGCAACCCTTAGATTGGTGGTCAGTAAAAAGAATGCAACCCTTACATTGGTGGTCAGTAAGAAGAATGCAACCCTTACATTGGTGGTCAGTAAAAAGAATGCAACCCTTAGATTGGTGGTCAGTAAAAAGAATGCAACCCTTACATTGGTGGTCAGTAAGAAGAATGCAACCCTTACATTGGTGGTGGAATCAGGTAATAAGAAGAATGCAACCCTTACATTGGTGGTCAGTAAGAAGAATGCAACCCTTAGATTGGTGGTCAGTAAAAGAATGTAACCCCTACATTGGTGGTCAATAAGAAGAATGCCACCCTTACATTGGTGGTCAGTAAGAAGAATGCAACCCTTAGATTGGTGGTCAGTAAAAAGAATGTAACCCCCTACATTGGTGGTCAATAAGAAGAATGTAACCCCTACATTGGTGGTCAGTAAGAAGAACGCAACCCTTAGATTGGTGGTCAGTAAAAAGAATGTAACCCCTACATTGGTGGTCAATAAGAAGAATGTAACCCCTACATTGGTGGTCAGTAAGAAGAATGCCACCCTTACATTGGTGGTCAGTAAAAAGAATGTAACCCCTACATTGGTGGTCAATAAGAAGAATGTAACCCTACATTGGTGGTCAGTAAGAAGAACGCAACCCTTAGATTGGTGGTCAGTAAAAAGAAAGTAACCCCTACATTGGTGGTCAGTAAGAAGAATGCCACCCTTGCAGTGATGGTCAGAATGCCACAGAAAGCTAAAAAGATACCTGGGCTGTGTTGGTGGTTATGCCATATAGTGTTGGAACTATCAAATGGGAGGTCAATCTGCAAAAAGTCAAGGGACTGCAAGCAACTTTTGGAGGGACCCTAGTTTAGAATGGCTGTTTGAAGGATACCTTCATTTACTTGTAACTGTACTATGTATTCAACCAATGCATACTAATCATATATCAAACATATGACTACATATGTGTAATACTGGATTAAAATATACGTTTCAAAATGTATATTTTTTTTACAAAGATTTAAATCCAAAGTTTCAGCATCAGATGTACATCATTACCCTTGAGCAGTGACAACAATGGATCTATGCAATGAGTCTCAGCATCGCCACTTGCAGTCTCCACCAGGGACAGGGAGACAAAGAAGGAGCACAACTGGGAGACACTTGTCACCCTATAACAGTAAGAAGCAGCTGTTAACGGTAACCAATCAGATTTTATCTTCAGCTTGTTTGGTTAAGCTTTGAAAATGAAAGATGGAAGCCGATTGGTTGCTATGCACAAATGCTCCACATTCTGTCTGCTCCAATTTTGATACACTCCCTCCATTGTATTTGCAATTTCTGTGCATGTGCTAGCACCATACCTGTTCATAGGCCCAGTTAAGGAGCTTGTATCTGTAAGACCTCCTCATGGGATAGGACAGACTGTAGATGGCATGCATTGCCCCAATGAAGAAACTTAGGAGTCCAAACTGCTTGCGTCTCAGCATCCATGTGTTCAGCCATGATGGGAACCTCTTGTACTTTGTGCCACGGTGAAGTTGGATGACTGTGGCAAATATTCCAGGTAAATAGGCCATGGTTAGCAGAGTGATAGCAACAACTGGCAAAACTTTATTCACCACCAATATTGGAATTCTATAGAATTCATTTTTACTCTTTGTAACATAGGGGTACAAAACTTCTCTGAGAAATGTATACATGAACATGAATAGCGCCAGCAAAAATGCCATCTTCATTGGCAAGCGCCATTTTGGAAACAGGGAAGTCCTTTGGGAGGAGCTGACAGTGTCCCAATCAAGCACATCGTAATATATTGCCCTGTCCAGGCTGTCAGGATCCAGGCTGTCAGAACCCGGGCTGTCGCATCTCAACTGTAAATCTATATTCTACAGAAGATATAAAGACAGTTTGTTATAGAAGCTGCATTATCTGATTAGTATCATATGATTAACACAGTATACATTAGAAATTATCACTTCAAGCCCAACTCTGGGCAAAATCATATTTTTCCCATGCCCACACTGCATGGGTTAACAGCTTGTTTCTTTCTAGGGGAGTAGGGAGCACGGAGATATACTTACCTGATCCACCCATTATAAGACTGGTACACCCACACCCCAGCGGTCTTGAATAGTGGACTGTTCCCGACATCATCACACCCAGAGCAGGCTTCAAAGACCAGGAACAGTCCACCGCTGGACCGTGGGGGAGCGCTATTTTCCTGAGGATCGAAGGATCAGATAAGTATGAGCCTTCTGCTCACCCCTAGACAAAAGGAGCAGTTGACCTTTGCAATGCAGGCACAGCCCCACTGCATGGGAAAAAAAAATGTTTTTTTTGCCTGGAGGTAGGCTTTAAAGCTGTACCCCAGACTTTCATTTAAATACATCCCTAACATAGCCACAGAGGATATAAATCCACTTTGTGTGTAATAAACACCTTCGTAAACCCATTTATGACTTGTAATTGTGACTATGACGTATGGTTGTATAAAAAATAGCAGTGACACCATCATCAAGCTATACATAGCCTGTGCAGCTGTGTGGGAGTGGCCTATCAGGCTCCACCCACTACAGTCTGCCTGCAGAACACTACAGAAGGGGTGGAGACAAGACCAGTCACCCTTCACAAGGAGATAGTGAGCAGCAGTGATTGGTCTTTATTACAGGAAACTCCTGCACATACTGGATACTGCACAGATCTGGAGGAATAAAACAAAGCACACCAAGATTGAAGGAAGAATATTCATACCCTCTGTACTTAGACTATATTTGCTGATCCCGGAGTTCAGCTTTGAAGTGGCAATTGTTATAGCATGACTGTGGAAACACTAAAACCCATGTATTGTATTGTGGTTTGCATATACTGTATACTATCTTCATCTAATACAGTTAGGGATTCAAACAGTAGCGAGAAGGCAACCTGTCAAATCACTTTTCAGCCCACAACAGTAAAATCTGTCTGTATATGCAGTAAAACATGCTTGTTATACTCACTGTGGAACCTAAGGGGGTTTAAAAAGGCTGTTTGATCCTGACTTCTCTGATACTCCCCTTCTTCCAGGGTCCCGATAAAAACATATCCTGTGGAGTCATTCTGCACATGCCAGTTTGGTGTGTATTGCTGGAGAGGTTTTTTTTTTCTCTTGGGAGAGTGCATGTGATCAGCACAGGGCCAATCAGCACTGTTCAGGCAGAGGTCAGGGGTCCTGCATCCTCCTAGAGCAGAATGAAAACTCCTCCTACAAGCTTTAACCAGTGCTCTGCTGGACACTGATAGAAGTCACAAGACTGCTATATACTGCTGATGAGAAAAGGTATTTAGCAGTTTATATTTACTAAAATAATTGCATTTCCATGTTGTGTGTACTGTGGGAGACCAGATATAGTGAATGCAGGGTCCGGGGAGACCAGATATAGTGAATGCAGGGTCCGGGGAGACCAGATATAGTGAATGCAGGGGGAGACCAGATACATGAGGGGTCCGACCAGATATAGTGAATGAGGGTCCGGGAGACCAGATATAGTGAATGCAGGGTCCGGGGAGACCAGATATAGTGAATGCGGGGTCCGGGGAGACCAGATATAGTGAATGCGGGGTCCTGGGTTTAGTAACACTTTAAATATTTTTTCCTAAAGCGGACTTTACCTCACTCCTATCCCCTCTTACATTTTATTCTGGGTTAAATTCAAAAACACACACTCCCCTGTCCAGCAGATCCAGCGATATGCTGTTTAGCTGTCTGTATCGTACAAAGTGCAGCACTGATGGTAACAAAAGACCCTTAAAAGATGTAAGCGAGAACATTCAAACAAGATAATATTGCTCCAAACACACGAGTGTATAACAAATGAAAGAGCGCTCAAAGTCCAGCCATAGGGGGAGATTTACTAAAGCTGGTTCACTCAGAATGTGGTGCAATTGTACATGGTAGCCAATCAGTTTCTAACCTCAGATTGTTCAATTAAGCTTTAGCAATAAAACCTGGAAGCTGATTGGTTTCTATGCAGAAGTGCGCAAGATTTGGAGTCAAGCAGCTCTAGTAAATAAACCCCATAGAGTCATTAGCGAATGGCGAATGAGGTCAGCTGGTAAACTCCTTCCTGTGTCTTAGGCTCCATTCATACTTGTGTGACTTTATAATTGTGCGAGTTTCATTGTGACTTTACAGTGCGACTTGATGCGACATTGGATGAGTGCAACTTTGGCTTTGTACAGCAGAAACAATTCTCCTTGGTCAAAGGTCGCACACAAGTTACATGTACAACATTCAGGTGTGACTTTCATGCGACTTTGAAGAGATTACATTGAAGTCTATGGCCCTCAAGTCTCATGAAAGTCGAACCAAAGTAGTGCAGGGACTACTTTGAAGTCCTTGTGACTTGAAGCCGCACAGATATGAATGGTACCTATTGGGAAACATGGGGGGGGGGGCGGCAGGGGCAGACTGACAACTCATGGGGCCTCTCCGGGCAATAGGGGATCATGGGACCCGTGTCCTTGCCCAAACTCAAAAAGCCTATGAAAAAGGTACCAGGGGTATGTCATGGGGCCCCCTACTGACCCCGGGCAGTGCCCGAGTTTCCAAATGGTCAGTCCACCCCTGGGGGGGGGGGTGGGGGGGACATGTCATGCAACATTGGACCCCAAAGTTGCATAGGTGTGAATGGAGCCTGACTGGTTTCTCTGTCCCAGATCTACATACCAGGAACTGAAGCTTTCTAAGAAATACAGCAAGGACCAAGTCTTGGGGTTGCCAGGGCAACGGGCATCTACAATTGGATCAAACTGATGAAACAGATAGAATACAAGGCTTGTCATCCATCGCAGTTGTTTTATCAACATCAGCGAGTATTACTTCAGCTTAAGTCCTCATGCACATTGGACGTTTTTACAGCGGCTGTTTTGGCTTTTGACGTTTTTTTCTCCCAGCATGTTATCCTGTGTGTCCATACACACATTAGACTTTAATCAACGTATTTGGGCAGGGACGTTTTTTTGGCTGGAAAAAAACCCCAGGACTAGTGGGATTCTAGAGGAGTTTTTTTAGCTGTAAAAATGCTCTAATGCTGAAAAACGAATCAAAACGCAGTAAAACACCGTTTTGATTGGGCGTGTTTGGACTTTTTTTTACTAAAAAAAAAATTATTTTTTTGGTAATAAAAAAAAAGCAGCTAAAAAAAACGCTAAGAGATGCAAACGCGAAAAAAAATGCAGGAAAATGCCACTAATCACGGCAAAATGCTGCTAAAGCGCTAATGCAAAAACTCTAAAAAAAAAAAACTCAGGTTTTTAACGTGACTTTACGCAGCCAACATTACATGCATGGAGCCTAAAGGACAGAGGAGAAAATAAAGAGCAATGTTGTCCATCAGATCGGATTGACCTTTAAAACGGTAGTAAACCACAGCTGAAAAAATAAACAATAAGCCCCCCCCCCCCCCCCCCCCCGCAAGGTGGTGTCATAATGTGCTAATAGGTGATGCATACTAGCACATTAAGAAGGACTTACCTTCAAACAAAGCCCTCCAGCGACAGGCTGTCACTGCTGCAGAGGCTTTCATCTTCACCCGTCTTGCTTCCAGATTCGCAAGCTCCAGCCATCTGACAGGCCGAGTCGTGATGACGTCACTCCCGTCCATGCGTGTGGGAACCCCAGGCCACAGCACAGTGCTCTGAAGGAATGGCATGGGTAGGTTGTTCCTTCCAGCGGATGCATCGGCCCTCTAAATGAGCGAATATCTCCCAAACGGTGCATGTTTAGGAGATGTTCATTTTACCTCCAGGTAAGCTTTAGTATCAGGTAGGTAAAAGTAGAAAAAAAAGAGTTTACTACCATTTTAAGCCAAAGAGAATATGACGTGGAAGAAGTCTGTTGGTTGTCCATTCCTGGAGCTCTCATCACCACTTATGGAATTATAGTGCGCTGTTTGACCATTCCTTGTTGGGAGGGGGCAAACTGTTCTAGTAAGAGGCAGTATGATCGGTTCGGAGGTAAAGGGTTTTTCCTCTTCTGTATATTGCTCCTTTGGGCGCTATCAACCACTGATCGTCCTATAAAGACTCTATAGGTGGACTTTGAGCGCTCTTTCATTTGTTTTACACTCGTGTTTGGAGGGATATTATCTTGTTTGAATGTTCTTACATAAATCTTTCGAGGGTCCTTTGTTCCTTTTATACGATATCTTTTAGGTTATATTGTTCCCCATAATTTTGTGTTAGTAGCTTTCAGTTAGATCTGTGATCTTTTGAACCCAAGCGAGATTAATATTTGTCTTTTTATTTGTTCAGCTGTCTGTGTCCCACGCCACCTTCTTGGTCAGCCAATTGCCTCTTCTGAGTTCAGGCTGCCCATCCCACAATGATATGGCAGCTCCAACCCCTTGCCATTCTGTGAATGGGCTCCTGCAGCCTACTGGTATATGAGACGAGGAGCTGGGGGAGAAGGATATGTCGTTCTGGTCTAGACCAAAATGGTGGTTTGTGGTGGGGCCACCAATAAACAAACAAAAAAAAAGAAAGAAAAAAGACCCCCCCCCCCCCCCCAAAAAAAATCTGCTATTGTTAATGGGGGGGGGGGGGGGGGAGATAAAGTCACATTTTATTTGAGAAGTTCAACTTTAAGTAAAAATTCATAGTGTATATCAGTATTACTCGATCTATTCTTATGTAAGGCCAGCAAGTGGATGTATTCCCCCATATCCCGCAGTCTTCCTACCACCTGTTGAATGCCTTTTAACAGAGCTCAATAGTTCAAAATGAAAATATGTGGATAGAAATACAATGAAGTAGAGAAGTGACTCATCCCTTAACAGACACCTCCATCCACAGGTTTATTTAGACACCCTAGATAACAAAGGGTTACTGCTGTGCTGTCTCTTTCCATAGATTAAAGTACTCTGGGAATCCTTTGTAATGTAATAAATGTGTGTTTCTGAAACAAGGATTTTAGACAAAAAATATCTGAAAATGTAAAACAACTTAAATAAAAAATTTAATTTAATAAATAATCTAAAGTATTCATTGTGTACAATGTGAAATGCTAATATAGGGTCTGGGATTATAAATCCCATTTTAGTCTTTACAGATGACACGTTCTTACAGAATGTCTCCAATTTACAAGCCGATCTCAATGCTCTGTTTAATTGGGCAACTATTTGGCAAATGAGGTTTAATGTTGATAAATGTAAGGTTCTGCACCTGGGGGCTAAGAATATGCATTCATCATACATACTGGGGGGGGGGGGTAAAATTGGGGGGATCAATGGTGGAGAAGGATCTGGGAGTTCTGGTAGATCACAAGCTTAATAATGCATGCAATGCCAAGCTGCGGTTTCTAAAGCAAGCAAAATCCTCTCTTGTATTAAGAGGTATAGACTCCAGAGAGAGAGATATCATTTTACCCCGGTACAAATCATTAGTTACACCTCATCTGGAATATGCAGTTCAGTTTTGGGCACCAATTCACAAAAAGAACATTGGGGAACTGGAGAAAGTACAGAGAAGGGCAACCAAACTGATAAGAGGCATGGAGGAGATCAGCTATGAGGAAAGATTAGAGGAACTGAATGTATAATCTCTTGAGAAGTGGAGATTAAAGGGGGATATGATCTCCATGTATAATAAATAAGGGGGGATATGATCTCCATGTATAATACATAAGGGGGGATATGATCACCATGTATAAATACATCAGTGGTTCTCCATATACATGGGGGGAACTCGGGGGGATATGTATGATAATACAAAAGGCTATTCACCCTGAGGTCATCACAGATAGACTCGGTGTAAGGGGGCACTCTTTACGTCTGGAAGAAAAGAGATTTAATCTCCAAACATTGAAAGGTTTCTTCACAGTAAGAGCTGTGAAAATGTGGAATAGATTCTTTCAAGAGTTGGTTCTGGCCAGCTCAGTGGATTGCTTTTAAAAAAAATCCTAGATTCTTTCTTAGATACACAGAATATAACTGGATACTAACATTTATAGGTAAAGTTGATTCAGGGAATATTCGATTGCCTCTCGGGGGATCAGGAAGGAATTTTTTTCCCTGCAGGAGCAAATTGGATCATGCTTTGCTGGGTTTTTTTTTGCCTTCCTCTGGATCAACTGTGGGTGTAGGATTATAACTTTATTTTTATGGGTGAACTAGATAGTCTTGTCTTTTTTCAGCCAGACTAACTATGTAACATTTCATGGTTGTCATGAGATAACTAAAGAAATTAAGCCAAACTTCAGCTAACACTTTATAAGCAGTTACAGCAAACAGTTTGTCCGACCCTCTAACTGTTACATCTGCAAGAGTTTGTACTAGGCTTTAATCTTTTTTTCAACAGAACACTC